GGGGGGGGTGCCTTCGACGATGGGTCTAGAAGTTAACCTCACCAAAGCGAAGATTTTGCGTGCACCCACCCGACTCGACTAACGACCGAAAGATTCAATGAAGTGAAATGACCATCGAGACGACCGAAAACTTCAAATACTTTTTCTCTGTACTAGCAAGAGATGAAGTTAGGACTTGGAAGTAGAGCGGTACTTAGGGCAGGCATCTGTAAACTACAAGCGGCGTTTTAAGGTGTGACCAAACCAATCTATCCATACATCAACAGAGATCACCATATTGAAAGCTGCCGTCTTTTCAGTCCTGATGTAGATCCATAAGGCATAAACCTTTTAAAAGGCCATAAAATGATGCTGGGCGCAACGCTGCCTCCGGATATTGAAAGTGCGATGGTTTCGTTAAAGGATAAGAGATCCTGAAGACGGCCGGAGCTTGAATTCTGTCTGCAAAACAAGAGGGAAGGGCATTTGTTGATATTTGACAAAATCATCATGGAAGAGAATGGAGATTTATCCAAAACCATCCTCCTCTGGTAATCAAAGAGTGGTTGCAGACGCTTCGGCGGCCAGCATAGCAGTGTAAAGCAGCTGCTTGGAAACGGACTTGCTTGGGACGAGTTGCTCCCCCCCCTGACCTCTGCTGCAGCTTGCCTAAGTCATTCGGAGAAGCCAAAGCGCCATACATAATCAATCTGGCTACCTTGCCCTGTACTCTGATATTTCTGATGATGATGGCAACAATTAGAACTAGTAGCATAGGGTATATCCATATTGTTAAAATGAGCAAGTCTGCAAATGCGTACGGAATAAGAATTTGAAACAATTCATGAAATGTTGTCTATAAGTGAAACGACTGTCATCCTCAGTGATTGTCTAAAAATGTTTCGAAAGACCGACCAACAGCACAAGGGTAAGATTCTTTCAAAGAATCGCTTTTCTATGATCTTCTCCCAACGATGCGGATGCAGTTGAATGGCGTTAATTTTGCTCAATATTTATAGTTTTTTCAGTTTCTTAGACCATTGTCTCAATTTTCGCTGTAATGATAATTCTCATGCGACAGTTCACTGGCATTTTTCAATGTTCTTATTTTTTGCGGAGGCATTTATTTTGCCCGTTTTTTTAATATTTTGTGTTGTCCTGTTGCATTAAACGGGATTCACCGCTGAATTCATTCAAGGAGTAAAATATTTTTTCGATAATTTATTCATGCGTTTGTTCATAGCTCTCTGCAACTCCACTTGACGTCGCTCTACTCTGCCATACGTTAACCGCTGAATTTTGTACTAAGCATCACTCCGATTAATCAAAAAATTGATGCAAACTGTTCGTCACAAATAATTTACAGCAAATCTTAGGCAACAGAATTGCGTCGAAACGGCTATCCTGAATCTTTCAGTCAAATGATTTTGTAAGTCTCGCTGAATTAAGTATTACTGCAAAAAATTATCTCCAGATCGTTTACTAGCTACTGTTTGCACCAAAGGGTAGAATGTAATATTGTTCTGA